ACAAGTGGTCTCTCGAGTTTCAAACATTAAAGCTGCCCAAAATGGCAAAGATATCTACTCAATGCTAGAATCTCCGAAAATGTCTAAGGTCAAGAACGACGTCGTAAGTTTTTTTAGTTTAATTACACCTGGCACAACGACGCCAAGGCAAAGCACGGCAAACCAAGCTTCGAGCATTTGCTCGGTTGGGCTCATCCGGAGCTGCAAAATCCCCTTCGATACGGTAGTGTACATCGGTTTGTTGACGGAACCTTCCGGATGGCGCCGAAAGGATTTCACCGGTTTATTACTCTCATGGTGTACGATCCGTTGACAGAACTGTTCGTGCCACTTTTTTTTTACGTTGGTGACTTCACAAACGCACGATTTGTACAAGAGATTGTTTCAATGTATTGAATTTGTGGCAGGTGTCAAGCCAAACCCGAACGATGTGGTGTGGGACTTTGAGGCAGCATTGATATTTGCTGTGTGAGATCATTTTCCGTCGACACGCATCATTGGCTGCTTGTTCCATTTCAAGCAGGCGTGTCGATGGAAAATGAAAAAGTATCAGCTCTCCGATATTGAAGCAGGCATTGCAATGGGGTTTGGAGTACTAGATATGCTCACTGTGATCGATCCTGAAAAACTTAGCGTGCACGGTGTTGCCTGGGTCAAAACCAAGATCAAGCAGCGCTGTGACTCTCAAAATGTGTCTTATTCGCGTTCGAAGTATATCAATTTTGGAACTATTTTCACAAAACTTGGATTGGACCATATCCGCCAGAACTGTGGAATATTTATGGAGTACGACGAGAAATTGTAAATCGAACTCATAATCCTTTTGAACGATTTCACCGCAAAGCAAATGTCCGATTGAAGCGGCAACCTTTCCTCCGGCACTTTGTAAAGCCGATTAAGAAATTACACGTCACTACCACATTCTACGGAAGGGCATTATAACCGGGGATGCTGAAGCTCCGAAGAGACCTGGTCTTCGGTTTCCAAGAGCAGCTACGCTCCCCAACATCAGAGACATCGAAGACTCTGAGAGCGACGATGATAGTGGCGTGCCAGTACTGCCGAGGAGGACCCCCACTTTTCGGGAGAAGAATTGGAACTTGTCTACGACGACTGCGCTGAGCAAAAAGAGGTCTTATAAATATTCTTACACGTCGAGCTAGGTTTGCAATTCTATGAATGGTTTCAGTGCATTCAGCTTTACTAATAAATGAACACTTTGCATCTGTTGATATCCACATGTGATCAAACGCTTTTGGTCACATGACCAAATGGCTGTGACCTATTTTGTTTCTGACCTAAAATAAAGGCTATCACCGCGGTATGGATGCAATTCATCAAAGTCCACAAAGTCTTCAGCCATGATTCCATACTCTCCGTTCTCTCCTTCAGCCAGCTTCGAAAACACAGCAGTGTTCGACTCCACTGTTGCTCCGGATGATATCAACGAAAACAATCGAACTTGAGCGAATTCAGAGTTCTCGAAGTCGCTGTCTTCACGGATCGTAATGCTTCCAAACAACTCAGAGAGAAACATCTCAGAATTTAGCACAGTATTGAGGAGAGCGTCGAAGACAGCTTTGACACTAGCTCCATGGATCGGTGCGGTTTCAAATCGAACAATGCAGTTATCACCGCCAATAGTTT